GACAAAGCTGACGAATCTATCAAAAACATAACCCAATGGTGTGGTAATAATAACATATCTCTGAATATAGACAAGTCAATAGCTGTTTACTTTAATACAAAAAATGCCACTGTGAACCAGAGCATACTACTTAAAACTGAAGAAACATCATTAGAAAACTCGACCTGTACAAAATTTTTAGGGGTCCACTTGGATCAAAAACTCACATGGAACGATCATGTTGAACATACATCCTCAAAACTGAGCTCATATTGCTTCATTATTAGAAACTTGCGTAACACAGTGTCAATGGAAGTACTGAAACTACTATATTTTGGCCTTATTCAGTCATGCCTGTCATATGGTCTGATTTTCTGGGGAAAAGCCCATAATAGTGGTCAATTATTTATCACTCAAAAAAAAATTATAAGGTGCATGCTGAATTTATCTAGCAAAACATCTTGTAAAAACCACTTTGTTGAGCTGGGTATTATGTCATTACCAAGCTTGTACATTTACTCAATAATTGTTCACATCATAAATAAACATAACTCTCTCAAAACAAGAAAGGATGTTCACAATCATAATACGCGGCAGAAGGACACCATCAATTTATGTTTCTCTAGATTATCAATCGGACAGGAGAATCCCAATTATATAGGAATCAAATGCTACAATAAAATATGTGAAATTAAGAAATTTAGAGAACTCAGCACAAGTTTATTTAAAAATTATCTAAAAAAGTTTTTAGTACAGAAATGCTATTATTCAGTTCAGGAGTTTTTGAATGAAAATTTTGACTCGGACCACATGAAACAGTAGTCTTTTGATTCAAATTTTTAATAAATAATCCTAATTAGTATTGATAAACTTATATTTCATTTATTAATTTTTAAAGTGTGTACATGTACCTATTTATTTATATTAATTTATTTTATTTTATGACCAAAAAGTGAAATTGTAATATTATTATAACCTACTTATTAGTGACGATTCCCATAATGTATGGTACTTGTATTGTAACATTCAGTGGAAAATAAATTGTCTTGTCTTGTCATGCGCACAAAAAAATTTGTGATGACAAGGCCTATTGATTTCCTCGATAAAATAAGCGTCAGCGAAGTTGCTGACTGCAGTTTCAGGTATGATTCTCATATCAGAATTAGTCTACCTAGAAATTTAAATTGACGTGTTCTCTGAAATTCTCGATTACAAGTCTGTTTCTGACTTTCAGGGGGGAGTCAAGCTCTCGTTGGAACGCCCTATATACAATTCAAACATGATGAACTCACCTCAGCTGTTTGCAAATTTCGGAAAACGATTCGTCAATATTCACGACACCGATATTTTGTAACAAAACGCCGGTGAAAAGCATTCCAATGAGTGTCGGAAGTGTCGTCAAACTGATGAGCCATCCTCCTATATGTGCGCTGATAGTAAGAAGTATGAGTTGGAAAAGTTTTCCATCTGGTGGTGCAGCAATATCTCCAACAATAGCATAGAGAATGCACCACGACAAAAGCCCTATGAGGTTCAGTGATATGATTCGTGTGAATTGTCTGTACGTCAAACAAAACGGTTGGGGGCATAACTTAGGCCAGAAATCAGGTTGCCATGAAGGAACTTCTTCTTTCTTTGATCGACACTTCAGACAGAAGGAGTACCACCAAGATCTGAAAGAAAACAAACGAAAATAGAAAATCTGAATCAGAAATTAATCGGATATTCAACGGAAATGAGTTGTATCTTATATTTATTCCACTTTGCATTGTTATACAGGCTGATTCACGGTGGATGGCAAATTATTTCATCTTTTTAGGTACACACGGTATATATCAGACAGGTCAATATAAAAAACATAGAAGCTGAAGATGATGTTTTGATTCATACTATAGAAAATGAAACTGGTTTGCTTATAGACTGATCGAGTTAGTGACAGACGCCATTTTTGCTGTTATTGTTGTCAACTCGGTGTAAAAACAACTGGTACAATTATCTTATAAAAGAACTTTTTTTAATGAAAAGTAGGTCTTGGCGGGTGCCAATTTTGCTGCATATTCCGTGTCATTAATTTACATTTCAAAAAATATTTTTTCACCTTATTTTTGGATTGAATTTTACCATTACTACCTTGGTCGAGCTAAAATGAAAATTTAATCAAAAGTTTCAATCCTTCGATAAAATACAAAGTCTGAAATGAATGTCATATAAATAGAAGTGACCTACTAAATATACCACCTACCGTTTTAATTTTTCATTCTTCATTTCGGTAACGAAGTATTGCAAATTTTTCAAGTAAAATTCATCGATCATTTCAAAATCGGCTTTTGGTAAGTTGTCGGGAGTCAGCTTGAACAAAACTAGACTCAACATTCATTTTGAAATTATTTTAACAAAAATACGCAGTTTGTGGAAACCATTGACATTAGAAAGAGCACCAGTCATTTAAGCTTAAATTAGGTAAGAATCTTGGAATTCGAGATACCCAGCTGTAAGTCTGTAAATACTTGTATATTGACACCCTGAAAGTTTTCTCAATACCTACATATGGTAGGGTGTAAGCAACTATTAAATTTCAAGGTCAAAGGTCACAAAAATCGGTTTTTCGCGCTTTTTTTGGAAATATCTCATTTCCTATGGGTTTTTTGCTATTTGTATTTATTATCAATATTGTAGAATACAAAATTCTCTACAAATTTTGTTCAAACAAATTTTTTATACGGTGAACCGTTTTCGAGATAGAGGGCGGAGAGCGCGCGGT